GGTGCTTTCACTCCATATTCTACAAATGATATCTGTTTTGTATAACAGAATAAAACTCCAACATGCATGAATATCACAGTCTCATATATTTGTATCTACTCCTCTGTTCACAGACTTTGAAACTGCTTTAATATTTGGGAATTTTGAGTAATTCTCCAATAAATTGAGATTTACAATTATCTCAGTGCTATGGTGACTTGGAGTATGGGAGTAAAGACTCAGCGCTGGAAATTATGGAGCACATCAAAGTTCAATTTTTAGTTTCTGAGGTACCTTTATGTATGATTTGTTATGGGAGAGGTGAATCCAAAATAATCTCAGATATGACATCTACAACAGAACAAAGTAAGTTTCCAACCAAGTCCAGTTTGGTGAACCAATGAGTTTCCTGTGGTTACTTGAAGGAACATAGGTATCTCAAGGGTAACTGTATAACTAAAGGATCCTCCTTATTATGATAAACCATTTGGTGAGTTATGAATATTTCTTTCCTTGAATTGTGTGCCCAAATTATAAGTGACTTACACTGGAAAGATCTTCTCTCTACAGTTTGCATACTGATTTTGTAAGTAATAATGAGGATGAGAATCATGGGATTTGTATGTTGAATGAGCTTCCTGATCCCTTTAGGTTTCCTTAACTTCCTAAGTGTTGTGAGTCTTCCTTAGCTCTTCAGGAAAAAAAATGTTTCTAGTAAAGGAAAGAGTAACACAACACTACAACCCTTTCTCCAGATCTTACATGCTTTTGATTTAGTCAGAATTTTTTTTGAATTTGGAGAGAATTGTGTTTATGCTAATCAGTTATTTGTCATGGCTAAAATTAAATCACTATGATATAACAATAATCACTGATCCTCAGGTTTTTGGCTAGCTACTAGTTTCCACAGATATTACAAAAGAGTAATTTTCCTCCACATTCTAATAGGAGACGTACCTTCTGGGTAGAAACACTTGTGTTTAGAGTGCAATTTGTTAGGCACCCCACCACTGCACATGAGAACAATAGTAGTCAACATAGCATCAACAGGCACTATGAAAGCAAGCAGTTAGTGAGGGAGCTTCCATCTCTATCCTATCTTGATTTTTATTTTCTGTAGCCAAAGTCTACATTGTCTTTATCAGTAGGTTCTTATCACTTAGTTTTGGCACAACTAGCAGCTGTAGATTAGTCTCTGAGGTCTGTGAAGATTATAAGACACTTTAGTCTCCTTAAGTCAGTTCATTCAGACTGACGTCCTTTTATTGCCTTAGATTAGGTAGGATGGATAGATACATTACTGTTTCTCTTATTCTGGGATACCCATATTGTTCCCATTTGATCCGATGTCCCACAGCATGGCAATCTAGGTTCTTAGAAACACATTTATTGTTTTAAATCTTCTCAATTTTAAGTAGATGCAGAATATCCCCTAAATATTATAATTTCATTGCTTTTCTTTTCCTGATATTAAAAAAAATAAAACTTGATGGATATCACTACTACATATGATTACACAATACTTGACATTCTATCAGTATTCCATAATTTACTTCCTCCCTATTGTTTGATTTTTTTCCAGTGGAATCTAAATGATTTTCTTCCAAGGGAGAGCTCCATAACAAAGATTTCTTTTGTCCCCACCAACTTCCAGATGTGGAAAATGGCAAGTTGACATCTTCTCATCCTCTACTTCTTTCTTTCTCTTTCCTGACAAATCTGAGATTAATGTGGAGGACAGCACTATTTTCATTTATGTCTTTTATACAATCATCCCTCACTCCTGTGAGAAACTTCTTTCTGGGTAGAGAGATGATCCTTAATTTCATGATTTAACAGCCACAGCAAAGGTAAGTAACTCATGACAGAACTTTCTTATGAACTTCCAAAAAATGAGTTCCTTTCAGAGATTATGGTATTATGTCCACCAGGCATTTTATGGTGTGTCTCCACACCCACATGAAACAGATCCTATTCATCAAAGAAGCATTCCACCTGATGTCATCCTATATAAAGGAAGATGTCCACACTAAGAACATTGTTCCCAATGGATGCTACACTCTCAGATATCTCAGTCTTTGCTTCATGAGTTATAATACATCACAGTGAGAATTCAACTGTCACTACAGGAAAGAAAGTCATCATCTCATATCACATGGGAAAAGATATTGATATTGGCCTACACAGATGCCTTACCTTTAGATTGATCCACAGCACATACTTTAGATTCAATGTGCATGCTGAACATGCTTGGAAATGACTTCTCCCTAACTTTTTCTGGGTAGACAAAATCAAAAGTTTATTCACTTCAATAGAGCACTCATGACGGAATGAAGATTCCACATAAGTGACTAGAGAACCAATTAGTTTCAGTGAGTAGCCTCTTCTATCTCACAGAGATTACATCGCACTATGGAGCACAGAAAAAGTACTAATGTTCTACTATCACTCATATTGAAAATGTTTCTTGTATCTATTTAACTCTACAATCCACAGAAATTCAGAAATCTGTGATATCTCTATTTCTGAATATATCAGTTATAATATCAGTTTCCTGGCATATTCCGTCCATGACATACAAATGACAATTCTGTTTTGGATAACAAAATAAAACTCCAAAATGCATGAATATCACAACCTCACATGTTTTTATATTCTCTTCTGTTCACAGACAATGAAAGTGCTTTCATACTTTGCTCTTGCGAGTAGTGTTCCAATAAGTTGAAGTGTATAATTATCTCAGTTCTATGGTGACTTGCAGGATATGTAGGTAAACAATCAGCACAGGAAATTCTGGAGCATATCACAGTTCAAATTTTAAGTTTCTGAGGTACATTTCTTTATGATTTGTCACGGGTAATGTGAATCCAAAACAATCTCAGATATGATATGTACAACAGAACAAAGAAAGTATTCTGATCAAGTCCAGTTTGGTGGACCAATGAGATTCCTGGTATTACTTGTAGGAACATAGGTATCTCAAGGGTAACTATATAACTAAAGGATCTTCCTTGGTATGACACACCATTTGATGAGTTATGAATATTGCTTCTCTGGAGCTCTGTGCTCAATTTATAAGTGATTCACACTGGAAAGATCTTCTCTCCACAATTTGCTTACTGATTTTGTAAGCAATAATGAGGATGACAATCATGAAATTTGTAAGTTGTGTGCACTTCATGATCTTTTTAGGTTTGCTTAGCTTCCTAAGTGTTGTGAGTCTTCCTTCCCTCTCCAGGAAGAAATGTTTCTAGTTAAAAGTCAGAACTACACAACACTCTCCCCTTCCTCTAGATCTTGTATGATTTTGATTCAGTCATGACATTTTCTGAGTTTTGGAGAAAATAGTGTATTTGCCAATTAAGGTTTTTTTCCCCTTTTATTTTATTTCGCAATACCATTCAGGTCTACATAATAGCCACAGATTCCCTTGTTCTCTCCCTTCCTGCCCTCCTCCCCTTTGCCCCAGCCTATCCCCCATTCCCACCTCCTCCAGAGCAAAGCCTCCCCCCCTAGGACTGAGATCAACCTGGTAGACTCAGTCCAACCTGTTTGGGAGGCATCTAGGCAGTGGTACCCTGTCCTGTGCTCATTGCATGAGTTAGCTGTTTGAAACCTGGGACTTATGCAGGGACGCTGGGCCAATTAATTTTTTTTAATATGGCTGAAATTGAAGTCACTATGTTATAACCAAAGTCACTGATTCCCTGGTTCTTGGCTATTTATGAGTTTCCACACATACTGCACTAGAATAATTTTCCTCTATATTCTAATAGCAGAAAGTCCTTTTGTGCAGACACATTTGGGCTTAGAAAATAATTTGGTGGGTAGTCTACATCTGTTTATGAAAACAATAGTTCTCCACATTGCCTCAACTGGCACTATGGAAGCCAGCAGTCACGAAGGGAGTTTCCATCTCTGTCCTATCCTGATTTTTATGTTCTGTAGCCAAAGTGTACAGTATTTTAGCAGTAGGTTCTTATCATCTAGTTTTGGCATAACCAGCAGCAGTAGAAAGAGCCTCTGAGGTCTGTGAATATTATAATACAACTTTGTCTCCTTTAAGTCAGTTCATTCAGACTTATGTGCCTTTATTGCCTCAGGTTATTTATGCAGGATGGATAGATACATTACCACTTCTCCTATTCCCATATTGGTCCCTTCTGATCCTATGTCCCACAGCATCACAATCTAGCTTATGAGAAACTCATTTGTTGTTTTAAGTCCTCTCAATTTTAAGTAGCTCAGATGCAGAGTATTCCCTAAATATTATAACTTTGTGGCATTTTGTTAACTGATATTAAAACATTAAACTTTATGGATGTCAGTATTACCTGTGATTATATACATTCTTGATAGTCCATCACTATCACATCATGTTTTTCCTCTATTAACATTTGATTTTTTTTTTTCAGTAGAATCAAAATTATTTTTTATCCAAGGGAGAGCTCCATTGCAAAATTCTAACTTGATCCTCTTCCTCCAGCTTTGGAAAATAGCAAGTTGACTTCGTCTCACCTTCCCTTTGTTTTTTATCCCTGACAAAACTGAGACTGGTGTGCAGGATAGCAAAATATTTATGTCTTTATATAATCATCCCTCACTCATGTGGGAAATTTCTTTCTGGGCAGACAGATGACCCTCCCTATCATGCCTTTTCAGCCATGGCAAAGGCATGTAACTGCTGACCGAACTTTTTTTAAGATATTCTGTAACATGAGTTCCATTCAGAGATTATGATATTCAGTCCACCAGTCATTTAGGCTGTATCTCATAATCACATGTAGCAGATCCCATTCACCAATGATGCATTCCACCTGATGCCATATCATGTAAATGAAAATGTCCACACTAAGAACATCCTTCCCAGTGGATGCTCTACTCTCACATATTAGTCTTTGTTTCATGATTTATAATACATCACAGTGAGAATTCAACTGTCACTACAGGAAAGAAAGTCATCATCCCATATCACGTTGGAAAAGACATTGAGATTGAGATTGACTACACAGATGGCTTACCTTCAGATTGATCACTATTACCTTGATCAGTCTCACAGATCGAATTCAAAATGTCAAAAAC